TGAAAGGGGGTGAATGAGGAGAGAAAGTGAGAAAAATGAAAGTGAAATGAGAAGAAAATACTAGAGATAAACGATGAGTCCATTTGAAACTTTCTAAAATGGGTGGAGGGAAAGGTTTTGGCGGAGAATCGAAGGATGGAGGAGGCGGGTAGATGAAAATTTTCAAGAGAAGCTGGGAGGGAATGAACGAAATTTCTCAAATTAGGGTTTGTGTTGAATGCAGAGGTAATATGTTTTATATTTGCTTAAAAAATAATGTGGGTTTTCGGTTGTGATATTCGGTTGTTCGGTTTTTGAGTCTACAACCGAACACCGCACTGCTTAGAAATGATTGAGGCCCGAAACCGTTGCTTGGGCCCGAAGACCGTTCGTGCCCGCACCGCAAGCCCAACTTTGGTGCGGTTTTCGGGCAACCGATCGGTTGCCCGCATGCGCACCCAGCCCTAATTGGAACATTATCCATCGTCTATACAAGTTTTAATTACTCACGTAAGATTTGATGTGATGTTCAAGCTAGCATAATTATCCATTCTCTTCATGCAAAAGCCTCAGTCTTCATATTCAAGTTACTATATAAACGTCTCTTATTCATATGCAAAATCTAGGTTTGTGGTTGGAACTCCCATTAATGCAGGTTTTTTTTTTTTAAGTGAAATTTATTGAGTTTTATTGTCGTATTTAAGTTACGATATTTATATTGTATACACTTATATATTATTTTATATTATATATTAAAAAGAAAAAAGTAAATTTAATAATTTAGAGAATTAAGTTGTTTTATATGCAGCCTAAAATGATATAATCTATAATTGAATTATATAATTAAAGAAGAAAAGTTAAAGGAGAATGTAACTAACACTTATTAATTGTAATTTTTATTTATTATACATTTAAATCATTAATTCAAAGTTCTCTTAACTGTATAAAAGAGAAAGTTACAATTAAATGGTACCAACCAAATGTGAACATGATGAATAATAAAGGGACAAGAAAATGTTCAGGCTTCACAATCAAATAAAAAAAGTTATTTAATTAAATATTAATTTTAGTATTAATATTACGTAAATAAATTTAATTAAATAATTAATAAATTAAATATTATTTTTTAATTAAAAAATTTGTAATTTATATTTTAAATATACAAATTAAAAAATCTCATAATTATTTAAAAAAAAAAAAAAAGGGGGGAAAGGCACCGCCGAACCGGCGGAAACCGCCCAATGCCTATGGGGCATGGTCCAGTCGTGAAACTTCGCGTCACATCCTGTCAAAAATAAGACGGCCCCCGCTGCCTTCCTCAGCCGCCCCATCTTTGTGGACCCCATATATGCGAATATCCTCCTGAACCAGACTCCACATGTTCATATGTTTCACGAAAGTGACGCGACCAACCATTTTCTTTTCTTTGTTTTTGTTTTTGTTGAACATGAAAAAATTTGGAAAGGGGAATTGGGGGGTAAAAGAAATCAAGTCATGATTGTCATATGTCAATATTTTGGATTTTTTTTCTATTCAGCCATTGTATTCAAACTCGTTTTCCAAAATTCAATCAATATTAGTTTGGCGGCAAAAAAGTATGTCTTAACATATTTCTAATTTTATTTTGAAAATTTTTAACATGTACTTTAAGATTTATTTATGGTGATATTTATTAATATTTTTAATAAATTTAATTAAAATATAAATTAATATTTATATTTAAAATATTAAAAAATACTAATTTAATATAAAAATTTATATAAAATTAATTATAAATACTATAATTAATAAAATTTAGCATGTGTAAACAAATCTTTTTATTTTTGTGGACCAAATTCTAATTTGACTGGTATTGGAGATATGTTAAGCATAATTTCTTTCTACTGATATTTGGTGAGGATTATACGTCAACATTATATATATATAGAATAGTAGTTATCGCCTTATTTGTTTTACTTTTTAAAGATTAAGAGGAGATTAAAAGAAATATTATTTTAAAATTATGTTATTTTAATAAATATCTATTAAAAAAATTAAAATATTATATTTTTAAAATATGAATTAAGGTGTTTTTTTTTCCTTTTAATTTTTTAAAAATAAGATGAATAAAAGCTAACACCATATATATATATAAGTCGAATACTTTCATTTATGTAAAAAAAATTAAAAGATTTCATTAAAATTTAAAAATTAACAACGACAAAAATAAAAAATTAAATTTTAAATGCTTAACCTATACTAAATAAAATCTTTTAAAAAATGCTTTTGATATTTTAGGAAGTTGTTTTAAGCTTTTAAAGAGTTTGAAGTTGAAAGTTACAACAAACATGTAACCTTTCAACGTTTTTAAATTGATAAATTTGATAATTTTTATTAATTTTTAAATTGTTTATGAGTATTTTCATGTGAATTCATTGCTTTGGTAAAGGTTATATTAAAACAATATTTCTAAAAAGGATACAACTTAGAGCAGAGAGACACTAAATTCTATAATCCTCAATTCCTCATGGCAAAGACGATCCATCTAGCTAGTTCAATGAAATGCTTACATAGACTAAAAACACTTTATGCCTCTATGGATTTTAGAGTTTGTTCGGAATTAGTGTAGAGCTGCAACCGGTTTTTCTTTTCTTTTCTTTTCTTTTCCTTTTTTCAGAACATATGTTAGCCTCGATAATTACTTTGTAAAAAATGTTTGTGTATCTATAATTACTCCAATATAAAGAAAAATAATGTACATTATGCACGTAATGATAAAGAGTAAATTAAGAGTAAAAATTTTAAATAAAAATAATATAA